TTTCCTTGGTTCGACATTCAACTTTTAGTGTCACGTTGTCAAGAAAGGTTGGTTGCAAATTTTGAAGGCTCAGTGATCACCGTGAGTCCTTGTGAGTGGGGATTTCTCATTGACATTCAAGTGGGAGAATGTAAAAGTTCTAGTGAATGACAATGAGTGTTTGATATTACTTGAATGACAAGTAACTTGTTTTACGGGTTATTTGTTATAAAAGTGATATAGTTGATCTCCAACTCATAAGGATTATGGAGTCTTATATTCATGCAGCTAACTTGATCAAATCCTGATAAGGGTTTAATGCAAAGATATTGAATCATGATAGGACTCTTTCATCATTTAGATGATAAGGGTATGCGACCGCTGATAGGCCGGTGGCGTAACCCTAACTGACATGTATATATAAATATATGAAGTTGTAGTCCCTACTCCCATACGTGAAAAACCCTAAGAAATTACTGAGACCTATTCTGACAGTAAGGGAGCTATTGAGTAGTGGGAGTAGAAGACCAACTTGCGGCTCAGACATGGCATCGAACATAGGTAGGTGTTCTTGCTATTAAATTCTGGTATACACTACTTTATATTCTGTGAGTTAGTTGTATTGAAACCTAGTACCCTGTTGTTGTAATTTTGGTTTATGAGTCTTATAGAACTGCTTACATTCAGGTCTCATTGTTGTAAGCTTCCATGTAGCTTAACTCTTTCTCTCTCTCTCTGATCGCTCACGATTTGTTTTTACTGTCAGGATAGCAGGGAATACTGAATTACTAATCATCACGGAGTATCATAAACTTGATTGAGTAGTTATGGCTAACAAAAGAGAAGATTTAGACGTGGAGAACCAGGCAGAGGGGTTAGTACTTCTTTTCCTTAAGACTGCAATTTTTTTTGTCTGTCATTTTTTCCAATATAAGTTTGTATCAAACACTGGGACGATCGTATCTGTACTGGCTTTGGCTGGTCAAAATACTTCATCGATCGTATGGCTGTAACTTATGATTATGATCCATGCACAAGCTTCACTTATATGTTGCGTTGGGACAGTTTAACTCATTTGTTTATCAATGTCACCTTACGCTTTCAAATGCCGAGCATTTAGTTTCCTTCATTTCATCTCCGTGCCTGTTTTTTTCCTCATATGCATATCCTTGTACATCACACAGCCGTTATGTATGCTTCACACTAAAGAATGCGCATAGTAGCTTCCATACACTCCACTAGTTTTTGTATGCGTTATAAACTCTAATTGTCTCTGAAACAGCGCCCTACTGGATTTTTTTTATGTTTCTTCGTGATTCTGACGGGTGCAATTTGTTCTTTTAATGTTCGTTTCAAGATCTGTTACAGAACATCGGAAACCAGTGACTACAATGACATTATATGCATTAATAAAGGGAATGCGGATATTTGTTATGTCTTGTGTGATTGCCGTTTCATTGGATCCTCTGTTATTTTACCTTTTAATCATTGATCAAGATAACAAGTGCCTTCAAATGGACAAAAAGCTGAAAACTACTGTTTTTGTGTTGAGATCACTCACGAATATCATTTTTCAAATGGACAGATAACCCCCGCTTGTCATGCACTGGGCCGCAGAGAATTCCTCTGCCCTGGGTTGCAGACTCGCGCAGGGCCCGCGTGGGCCGGCCTGGCCTTTGTTGCTGGTCATCACGTGGACTCCTGTCCACTGGCAACCTTGTCCACATGGGATGGGAGCCAATCCCAAAATCCAATTATTTCCAACCCAAAAATACACTTTTTGAGAGATTTTGAGGTTTTTTTTTTGCTTCCCACCCATATAGCTTGGAGACAAGGAATAAAATATTGGAAATATCGGTAGTCCGAAAACACAGAAATATCGATGGAAATATCGATATCGATAAAAATTACATGGAAACCACGGAAATTGTAAGAAAAACTTGGAAATTTTTATTGAAACTTTGCAGGATGTTTATTTAGTCAATTATCTATTAGTTTATCACAAAAAATTGGAAGGAAATGCATTGCATGATGGATTTAACTGATTTAAGTTGATTATATAGCGAGCTGGCAAACACTGTGAATGTAGAAAATATGTAGTAATTAATGAAAAAAAATTAAACACACCATAATCATTTATATATAATGAAATTAACAAATGTGGAACAAACAATTTGAAAGGTAAGAGAAAAACTGACAATAATATATATATGTGCCATATGGAAACTTTCACACGGCATTTCTAGCCACATGTCAGATCTCACAATTTCCTCATATTTAATTATCTTTTAGAAACGTAGAGGGATTCGTGCAGGGCTCTCGATCCTTCTCCCAGAGTCTCCTTGTTTCTTCTTCTGCCCCCCATCTCTTCTCTGCAACACACGCAGACCACACATGGACACACTACACACGCAGACCACACACACACACCACACACACAGTCTCTCATTCTCTCCCTCAGTCTCTCTGTTGTCCGTCCATCCTTCTCCCTTAGCCTCGATCTCGATCCTTCTCTCCCTCAGTCTCTCCGTCCGTCCATCTTTCTCCCTCAGCCTCGATCTCTCCGTCCATCATTCTCCCTCATTCTTTCCATCCTTCTTCTTCTCCCTCAGTCTCTCGATCCTTCTCCGGTTCTCCCCCCCCCCCATCAAATTCGAGCGGGTTTTGGGATCCGGAGAAAGGGATTGCTCATTTTCAGGGTCTAAGCGTGGATTGCAGAGAGAGGATTGCTCATTTTCGGCTGCCGTTGCGACGACGACGGAGGATCCTCGGCGATATTATGGCTAATATCGCGATATTATCGATATTAGCGATATTATTACGATAATTCACTGTAAACGTTGAAAATATCGCTATGTGAAAATAACGATATTATCGGCGATGCCGATAATATCGATATTTAATTCCTTGCTTGGAGATAGCCTAACAAGACAAAAAGAGCAACTTCTGTCCAACTCCAAACCCTATACATACCCCTTACCTAGTAAAACAAAAACAAAAAAACACTAACCATAACTACTCCAACTTAATCAACACCTTTGTTTCATAGGAAAACTAATGAAAATGACTTGAAAACTTTGAGTTCTAATGATAAGGACAAAATAAAGGGTAAAGTGAATAGTATCATGTTTGACTTTTTAGTATAAAAATGTAATTTTTCGTTAAAGTGAACGGTACCGCGAACTTTTCGTTAAACTCTCTTATTTCATTTCCACATTGAGGGGTCACCCTAAACCACTCAAGCAATTGACAAATAAACCTGCATTTTCCACTTTGGTGGGTCACCCTGGACCCAACAAATAATTAAGAAATAAACCTGCGTGCTTTTCATTGTGCATCTATACTATTCGGTTCCAAGAAGTAATGAAACAGAAAGTTGAGAGTTGAACGACGTTTCTACATTATCTTTGAGAAGATGATAGGTAATTTTTTATTTGATATATATAAACATTATCCACACTAAAGAGAATGAGTTAAGTCTCAGAATGAGATAATTATATAATTTGATTCTTATTCGTCTTTGATAAGAACCAGACCTAAGGCATATCAATTATAAATAAAGAAGAATATCGCTAGACCGTAATATTAAGTAGTAAAAAAATATATTCTAAAATTACTTTAAATATACAACAATAGGATTCAATAATTATGTGTTTACCTATTGTAAGTATTCGAATTTGCTCCCCTTCAATCTGTTTCCCTCATTTTATTCTGAGCCGTTCAAAGCATTTTCAAGCTAATTCAAAGTTCAAGATTATGCCAAAACTTAGCATAAAAAAAAAATCAAAAACCCACTAATAAGAAGGTAGGATCCACAAAGTGGCTAATGAGGGCAAAGAGAGGAGTTTATTAGTCATATGGTGAATGTTTGATCTCAACCAATCCCTCTATAGATTAAAAAGAACCGGAAAAAATTGTCATTTTACAGGAATTATTTCTATACGCTTTGATGAGTTGGGCCTCTCATTATGACTTTGGTAACGAATATGGGCTTTTATTGTAAAACCAAATTGTTTACTCTTATCAAAATTTTCATACTATATTTATATAATTTCTCTACATGAGTCCTATCTTACTTTCTTGTGAAAATAATGTGTAGGAAATAGCCCCATTTGTTCATCGCCCTAGGCCATTAAAAACTCAAAAACTGCCTTGAACACTGAACTACCGTATCAGCATCGAACTATTGAATTACCATATTATTTAATTAAAAATTAAATCAAACCACAATATCACATCGCTGTAAATTGTAAATTCAGCCAATTGAAGATTCAAAGTAGAAACTTTGAAATCCTTTGGATTCTCGCATAATTTTTTGAGGTTGGGCATTATTGACTATTTCATCGATAAAACACTTGCAGTTGACTTAAAGGTCGTACCCAGTGCACAAGGCTCCCGCTTTACGCAGGGTCTGGGAGAGGTGAATGTCGGCTAGCCTTACTCCCATTTTATGGAGAGCAAGGTTCTAAAAATCGCTAGGCGCTAGTCGGGCGGCGAGCTGGGGCCTAGCGCCTAGGCGCCTAGGCGGGGCCTAGGCAGGAGCCTAGGCGGACTAGGCGGATTTAAGTAAATCTATCATATTTAAGGTAAATAAGTGTCTGCTTCTACTTGAAATATATATAATTTCATCATAAACTACAAAATAGAATGTATATATATCATGAAGTATTGGAACATAATAAAAACATGTGAAATAAGGATATAATGTTTGTTCATTCAAGTATGCAACAAGTCTCTTACAATTTATTGGAAAAAAACAAAATGCAAAATGAAAGTTATGTATTTTCTGTCTAAGTGAGTTGCAACCTAGGCGGGTCTAGGCGGTCTAGGCGGTGGGCCTAGGCGGTGGGCTGGGGCCTAGGCATTAATCGGGGCGGTGGGCTGGGGCCTAGCGCCTAGGCGGGGCCTAGGCGGCGCTAGGCGGGGATTTTTAAAACAGTTGGAGAGACTGCTCCCAAGTCTCGAACCCGAGACCTACCGCTCATGGGCGAGGTACTTGCCATCGCACCAAGTGCGACCTCTAAAACACTTGCAGTTGACTTAATTACTTAAATCACTCGTGCCAATGTCAACATATAAATTACATCAAGCAGCACGATATATAAGGTTTAGAGCTTTCTACCACTGCTTAATTATTGAAACGTACGGCTATATTATTTTGAGGCCAGAGCTTATACGAAATCTACTCAGCCAGGGTTGTGTATGGAACTCTTGGCCATAAAGCGTCTCTACTATGACGTTTCTGAAGATACTAATTACTTGCTGTAGATGGCTAGTTCTCACTATTGTCATCCCCTATTTCAGCCAGGGACGGAGGCGGAAGTCGTTGCGCCGCCTTGGTATGGGAACGAAGAGCAGCAGACAGCGTCGCCTTCACCTCTTCAGCATTGTTACGATTGAGCAAGTCCCCATGTGGTCTTGGGGAGACTACAGTTCCCAAGTCCTCGGCCATGAGCACAAATGCTTTTACTTTTGTATGACATTTGACATGTTTGCTGGAGACTGGAACTTTGGTGAAGTCTGATGCCCAATCGAGAAGCTCTTCCCCGTAAAAGTCACCTTTCCTGAGGGGCTTGATGCCCATTGATGAGATTCCTTGCCCAGCATGACTATCACTCGACGCGTAGGTCCACATTGTCCCTTCGATAATCAACAGCATGCAATCGAGTGGATCTCCCGTTCGAAAAATGAAGCTGTTCTCACTGTACGTCGCTGGCTTTAGATAGTCGCACATCATCTTCAACACTTTTTCATCCATGTCTTTAAGCATTGGTATCTGTAGTATACACACATAGGTTAATCTACTGTACTCTTTAATTTGAACAATAATTTTGTAATGCATGTAACATTAACCTAGTTTTAGTAATAACAATGTGATTCTGTGTTGTTAACTAACTTAGCATTATTATATAACTATGGACTATAAACTTTAAGATTATAGTTTAATCTTATCATTATTGTAATTCAAACATCGAATGTTAATGTCATTTTGTTTTAAAACAATGTATTCCATAAATTAATGGTGAGAGATAGAGGTTGAGGAACATACTTCCTTAAGTGTTTTTATAGCTTCCTCTGTTTTTATACCTTGTCGTCTCATTTCCTCTGTTTTTGTTGTTTTTATACCTTGTCGTCTCATTTCCTCTTTTTTTGTAGCTTCCATCTGCATAAAAGCCTGTCTCGCCACAAATCAAACAATTACTTAATATACTCGAAGAACCGCAGTCTCAACTCCGCAAACACAGAAAAATTGATGAAAGTTAATGTACAGAGAGATTTATATACCAACCTGCACGTTTCCAATAAGATATAAAAACAGTAGCAAGCCAGTCACTGAAATGAAAATCGCAAACAAGTTTTCCCATGAATACGTACTTGTTTCCAGATTTGTCCCAAAATTACTGCAAAATATTAGTCAACGTTGCCAAATTAGATAACCCCAAAAATTTTATTCGTTACATATTTTTCTGAAAATTGTTGACTGTCAATGGATATGTACCTTAGATTTCGCAAGCCCCACCAGAAAGAGTATAAAAACTTATTGCCGAACTTTTGATCCGGGTTTTCATTTTTAAGGGAATCGAGAAATATTCCAAAGTCAAATGGAGATAAAGCATCATCTGGAGTATCCAACGGGCAACTTTTGTTTAGATATCTGATATTTCTTGTAGAATGCCCACTATCGCAGTACAATGTGTCCTTACATCCAACACAAAAAGTGCCATTACATAATTCATAACTAAGTTTTACACAAGCATCGTGCCAACATGATGCCTCTCGTTGAATAGAAAAAAAATACCAAAAAGCTCCGAGTACCTAAATCAATAAAATGCAAATACAAAACACTAGATATTAGTCTACCTATTAGAATAAAATTAATTAATCCAAAATTTTCTCGTAATTAATGAATGTAATATCAATTGTAATTAATTAATTTAGAATTTCTACCACATATGGATTTTCTCAAAGCCTATATTTATTGCAAACATTATACATAATTAATCAAAAAGTTATATTTCTACATGGTATCATTTGTCCACCATAGTCTAGCGGTCTAAGCATATCATCTTTTTTGCAACCCAAAAAAAAAAGAAAAACCTTCTGGTCGTTCTCTTCTTGTAGGACTTTCTCACACCACCAAGAAAAAAAAATCACAGCAGCCTTTACTCCTTTATTGTAGTCTCACTCCTATAGTTTTTAGGGTTTTGTCTTGATTCTTTTTTTTTTTATTGGCGTCTTCAACCTGTCATGTCTGAACTTCCTTCTTGCCTAAATTCTTTCTACAGCAATAGCAAGCCTTGTGGCATCCTCCTAGGCTCAACACCGCAGCTGGCCTTTTAAAGTCAGTTTGGGAGTGAGGTGCTTAAAAAAAAAATACCTATGAAAAAAATTGTGAGGGTTTTAGGTGTTTGGTAAACTGAAAAAAAAAAGCTTATTTTGGAAGTTGATGTGGGAATAAGCTGAAATCAAAGGAAAAAAGCTGAAGCTGCTATTTGCAGCTTTGGAAAACTGGTTTTTTTTCAAAACACATAGAGCTACAGTGCTCCTTTAATGAAAAGACCCACTATCAGACTGCTTTTTTTTCCAAAAGTACTTTTTCAAAAAAGTTTACCAAATACTCTGCTGATTTATTTCACAGCCGCTTATTTTCAGCACAGCCGTTTATTCTCATAGCAGTTTTTTTTCAAAGCACAGCAATACCAAACCAGCCCTAAGTCCTCCACGATGTAACACTTGTACTACCTCACAGCATACCCAAGCAGCCCGCACCGGTTTTATAGACCCGACTCGGCTCCTTCCTTCGTCGGCGCTCACTTTGCTTCCCAAATTATTATTTGAGTAAACTGTCGATTTGCCCCCTGAACTATCACCCAACTTTCAATTCCCCCCCTGAACTTTTTAATTGGAAAATTAAGGACTTAAACTAATTTTTTTTGGCCAATTTCCCCCCTACAGTTAGTTTTTCATAGATTTCATCCAAATTAATGTTAACTCTTATCATGTGCAAACCACGTAACTCTCATTTGTGGACAAAATTGTCATTTCACTAGACCTTTAGATACAAAAGCTATAGAATCACACATATTTGCATAGGTTTATATTTTAGAAATCTAAGGTTTTCAATTATTTTAAAGAATGAAGCGACCGAACTACCCACACATGTTGTGCATATGCTTCCATTTAACAAAAATTTGGATAGAATGAATGAAAAATTAACAGTAGGGGGCAAATCGGCCAAAAAAAATTAGTTTAAGTCCTTAATTTTCCAATTAAAAAGTTCAGGGGGGAAATCAAAAGTTGGGTGATAGTTCAGGGAGCAAATCGGCAGTATACTCTTATTATTTCGATACCGGTGCCACTCATTAAATGATCGGACAATCCTCGACACAAACGCATGTTTCTCTTATGCCGCCGTGTCTGCCACCAGCACCAACAATGTCCCAGCGTCTCTTGCTGCCCCCTTCCGTAGCCTGCTTTGCGCTAACCACCTTCGTTGTTCAGTCCACTCGTCCCATGGTCACTCGGCTACGCGACGGCATCTCCAAACCCAAAACTCGAATTGATAACACTGTTCGGTATCCTCTTTCTCATGCTCTTTTAGCGTCTATTTATTCTAGTAAACCCATTTGTTTTTCTCAAGGTTCTAAGCATCCTGAATGGCGTTAGGCCATGAATGAAGAAATAATGTTTTACTTCGCAATCAAACACATGGTTTCTTATTCAATCAGTCATTTTTAGCTTCTCTAACACCCATTATATTTTTTATTATCGAATTGAATAAATCAAATGAACATACGGACATGATTAAACATAGGTATGTCCGAAAGGTTAAAAAATGTATGTTTATCATTTCTCTTGTATAATGTCTAAGACAAAAATTAGTATTTTTTTTTTCAAACAAACTTTAGATTTTCTTAATAGATTAAGGAGGGTCCATTTAAAATTTTCGCACAAGACCTTCAAATTCTCAAGGACGACCTTAATCGCGGGTTATATGGCTCCTTACATTATCTTACTTGAACTTGCCTTGATATATCTTTTGTTGTCAGTTGCTCAATTCATGAGTTCCCCTTGCATTACTCATATGATTGCAGGCAAACTGCTTCTCCGTTATATCAAAGGTACTATGGATTTGGCATTACTTTGACTCCCTAACTTGCTTCTGATATGCTTATTCTAACATTGATTGAGAGAGTTGTTCAGACACTCGCGGCTCCACGGGTTACCTCATTTAACTTGGCACCGATCTCATCTCTTGGTGCCCCAAAAAGCAACCGACAATGTCTCGATCTATTGTTAAACCTAAATATAGGTCCCTTCCTCATCAACGTGCTAAGACTATGTGACTTTATTTTCTTCTTCGCGAGTTTGGAGTTTGGCTATCCTTTCCAATTCTACTTCATTGTGACAATTCCTCATGCCACATAACTTGTTACTAATTCAGTTCATCATGCTTGTAGTAGCCACATTGAGCTTGATTATCATTTTGGTCATGGAAATGTGGCTCTTTATGGTCATCACATTTGTTACATATCTTCTGTCGATCTTCTTACTAAAGCTCTTCATCAGCCGTGTCATGGTGTACTTTGTTTCAAACTCATCCAATCAGGATCATCCAAATTGCAGGGGGGGGTGGTGAGTGGTGGTGGTGGTGGTGGTTGTGTGTTTTTTCTTTGAACAAACGATTATATCTACACTAAGAGGAGTGAGGAAGTGGGCTAGCTAAGCTTCACAATTGGTTCAAATTCGCTTTTGCCGAAAATCGAATTTAAAACCTCTTACTTACAAGTGAAGATGAATACCACTAGACCGTAGTATTAAATGGCATGGTGGTGGTGTTAGGATATAATTAATTAATCCGGAATCGTCCCCTTAATTAATGGAACGTAATATCAATTGTAATTAATTTAGAAATCCTACCACCTATGAGTTTTCTCAAACCCTATATATTATAAACGTTCTACATGATTAATTTAAAGAGTCATATATTTCTACACTATCATTTTCGAAAAAAACTGCATTGGTCCATAATCCAACATTAGTAACTAATGAAGTATTGGAGTAATGACAATTGAGTTGAAACTTACATGACCAGCAAGAATGTAGAGAAACAAGTTGAATAGACCCTTAGGCCATATCCCATTCATCATTTTGAATGCCTTGGCCGACAGGTGAATTCGAAAAATCCTCGGAACATATTGACCGAGAAGAAACACATTCACAAACATTGTGTTTTCCACAAATCCTGAGCCTTCCTTTGGGTAAAACATTAGTATTATCAGCTGCAGAAAATTAAAAGATAAACAAGCGTTAGAACATAGAACCATCAATTTCAACTAGCTACCAAAAAAAATAAAAATAAAAATTAGAGTTTTAGTTAATTTCTCTTACTTGTGGGAGGGGAACAAGAGCTAAAACGTCAATTATGACGGATAACCACGACATATTCTGAGCTATTTTCCTGGCATATTGAATCAACTCTCTGGCTTCCCATTTTTTACTGGAATTTCCCCAAGTTTGTTTCACCTCCTCATTTTTCTCCATTGTCTTTTGAACAGAGTATGAAATTTCACATATCAAATGCACGACGAAAATGACATCCGTGAGTGATCGCATAACAAGAGCAACAATTTCCAACTTTTTGTCCGTGTGAAGGCACTTTTCATCCTGATTGACATTCACAACATAAAAGAACAAAGGATCCAGAGAGACAGCAAATACACATGAGATCACAAATATACTGTTCCACATTTGAAGGTAAGGCCCCTGATGCACATCAAAAATCACCCCCTGAAGCACATCATCAAAAATCTTCTTTATTTTTGTTATCCAATTTGGAGCACTCATCACCTTTCTGGGAAACACGCAACAAACAACGAATGAAATTCATATGCATTCACCCTAAACCCTAATATATGAGCCCCTCGAGCTAACAAATTAAACAAGATAAAATGAGATATAAATTCAATTATAATAGCAGCTATTAGATTTATTTCAGTCTTTCTCCGCTAAAACAAGTATCCGTCCTTGCATAAAGTAACATAATTATGAATAATAATAATTTAACAATAATTTTCAAACTTGACTACAATATATATATAATAGAATTACTATCTAATGATCAAATATAATTCATGTGAACAGTTGTAGGGCTGCTTTGGTATTACTGTGCTTTGAAAAAAAATTGTTTCTGTTGTGCTGTGAGAATAAGCTCATTTTTTCTGCTTCACGTTTTCAGTTTTTTTTCATCCAAAACTGTGAAAATAAGTTGTTTTTAAATGTTTACCAAACACTTTTTTGAGCTCAGCTTTTTTTTATACTCACTTTTTATAAAAGCATCTCAGTATCAAACCAGTACGTAGACCACTACAAGAAGTCTAAATGAAATCAGACTACTACCAAAATATTTTAGAAATTTTCACTATACACAACAAAATACAAAAACTACTCTTTTTTTTTTTTTTAACAAAGGCCAAATCTCACTTTGATATTCTAGATGATAAATCTATATATTGCTATTTGTCAAATTTCCGTCCGAATTTGTATAAAGCTTCTAATTTTCTCCCCAACTTTAATTCTAGCCAATTTTTTCCTGCCCCGGGACGTTAATTATTGGAATTTTCTATCAATTTTGGTCATATGGCAAATGTTTGAGGGTAATATAGTAATTGTATCCTTCATGTGGACAACGTATTATTTCTTTTTCTTCTCTTCCACTAGTTGACTCCATATACTTTATGTTTGAATTATTCATGGAAGTTTAATTAGCAATTACAAAGTATTGGCTTTGTGCCCAATTTAACAAAACAAGAATACATTTTTGCCCCTATACAATTGACATATGTTATCCGCGTGACCAATTGAAAAATTAGATGAAAATTTTCAAAATCTAACACCAAGGGGAAATTGACTATTTATAAAAGTTCAAAGGATAATCGGCTAAAATTAAAACTAAATGGAAAAATTGGCAACTCTACACAAGTTCACATAAATCAACAATTAAATCATATATGTATAATATATATATACATATATATATACAGAGAGCATAAGGGGAAGGATCTCCATTTTTTAAAAAAAAATGGGGATTAGGTGTGGGGCCCACTTCACATCGAATTTCAACGATCCGAACCGTCTATTTTGTTAGTCTCGATTCATAGATCATCCTTGCAAAAATTCAATTCAATCCGAAACCATTTGCCTATTTAATTATCAAGATCAAATTTCATTTTTTCTTATATAACAAAGTATTCGTTCATTTCCTTGAACCCAATTAGATGTCTTAAACATTTCCAATTTAGTTAATATTTTGCAAGGATGATCTATGAATTGAGACTAACAAAATAGACAGTTCGGATCGTTAAAATTCGATGTGAAGTGGGCCCCACACCTAATCCCCATTTTTTTCAAAACATAGGGATCCCTCCCCTTAAGCTCTCTGGCTATCTTGAAGGAGGGCATCCTGAAGAAATGCAGGAGGGACCTCACTCCAAAGTAAGATTATACATGGTTCTGTGTATATTTGTAGCCAATCCCATAAATTAGTATAAGTAAGAGTTTGCCATTGTTAAATGTGACGCAACGTTTCCTTGAGGTCACTGAGTCTGTAGAAAGAAGTTTATCTTTGTTAAAAGTTTTCACTGAAGTCAACTCCTCGCGTCTTTGAAGTATGAATAGTAAATCAAATTGGCCGCCATATGCAACTCCGATGCCAGCTACTGCCTCTCATCCGATTAGATGAGTTTCGTCGCCTCGCCACCGGCGTCACTATGCTGTGTTGGGCGTTTTAAAATTTAAAAGTAAAGGAACAGAAGGTGTTGCAATTGCTATATATAATCAAGTATAGTGTTCCAAATAGCATAAATTTCGTACGCATTTTGGGACTCTCCATGGATCCCCAACGCTTTATCATTCCCATTGCTGCGCCTTATTGCGCAACATGGTGCGCTGCTATACTTTGAGAGTGACAAATAAGAGCAAGCTAAGAGAATTCGAAATACTGAGAGAGAGAGAGAGAGAGATTACGAACCCGCATGTTACTGGCTGCTTCTCGATATCTGGATTTGCTTTCTTTCCAACCATAATAACTTAAATAGCTACGACGAGGTTTTCAGTTTACTAGGTGGAGAGAGACTAGCATGCAGAGAGCTAGCATTTGGGTTGAGTGGCAGAAGCTGAAGCTGCTAGCTGCATTGCCATTCTATTTAATAAAATTCAAGTTTGTCTTTTTATATGACGTAGGCTTTTATATGACGTAAGTCATTTTATAATATGCATGGATTTAATAGTTTAGTGGATAAGATCCACCAACACATTTGAGTCTCACTTTTATTAGACCAACTTCAATTTTTGGGTTAAAACCTATAATTTTTAACCCAAAAATAATTTTTCTTCTTAAATTTTTAGTCCGAGATTAGGATAATTTTTCCTAAAGTAACATTTAAAAAAAAATATATGTAAACTATCCAAATTTAATTTTATGAAAATTTTAACTTAAAAACATTTAGATTCCGATAAATATTGAAAAATCACTAAACTGACATCATGAAACTCATGGAACATTACAAAATAATATGAAACACATAAAATATTTTTTTTAATTACTTTAGCCGTTGGATTTAAATTTAGACCGTTATATTTTTTTTACCGTTGAATTTAATCAAGATCTTAACCGTTAAATTCAATGAATTTATAAATATAAAACTAATATATATGATGGACTAGCCCCACTAACCCAAAGGGAATCCTTGGCTAAATTTGGCGCGTAAATGAGTTTTTAGTTTTAACTCATATTTGCCCCAAAAGTTTGAGTAAATTGGAGTAAGTTTATAACCTAAAATTTGAGTTTTACCCTAATGATTAGAGTAGGTCTTAGAGAAATTAATTATACAAATTTAGTTTACAATAAGAAACCCAAATCCGTAACCAGTGGAATGAGAGGCCCAACCCATCTCAAGAGACATTGCAAGCAAAACATGAGGAAAGGGAGAAAAAAAAAACACATAGGTACGGCTTCAAAGCTACGCAGCATTAAATTGGCTATTAGATTCGACTGTCATAATTATTAGATCTTTTATTTTCAATCCTAAACTCTATATGGAGAGGCCAGTTAATATGTGGTGCATCACCCTCTTGCACTCAAGTCGAATATATACAGTCATTTAGTATTATGGTCTATTAGTATTCATCTTTAGTAGTAAGATGTCTTGAATTCTAATTTTGTGAATGACAAGTTCGTAACCAATTTATTTCCCAACCCGGTACACGACATGAGATCGCCAACAAGTGCATGCAGATATAAGTTTCTTTAGGCGGACATGCAAACAGGTAGGCAGACTTTGCTACGCAAGCAAGTAGGCTCCACTACAACGTACAGGCAGGCAAGCAGATTCCAGATATATGGCAGATGAATGTAGATTGAGATGGCAGATGGTTGATAGTTTCAGGTAGGCAGATCTTGAAGTATGGGCTCTGTCACTAAACGGACGAGATTTTTATATTCCAACTAAAGTCATGCTTTACTAAGGTACTCATTTTGAGGACCCATAAGAACCAAATGCATATTAATTAAAAGATTATATTAGTTTAGACTCAAATGCTTAAATTATTTGACAATTTAATAAACCCAAACAAGAAAATGAGTTTTCTAATGATTTATAGATTTTAAGTTGTTAAATATTTTAAACCTTTGAATCTAAACTAATATAATCTTGTAGATAATATTCATTGGTCTTCACATGTCCTCAAAATAAAGATCACAGAAGAGTAAGACTGATTCGAACTGTATCAACAAACAAACATATAGAAACCTGGACAACAATCAATGGAGTGGACTGTGGACTGGTAGGAATCGTTGTAACTGTATCAACAAACAAACATGGAAACCTGGACAACAATCAATGGAGTGGACTGGTAGGAATCGCAGTGGGAAACAGACTTGCAAGCCAAAACAAGAAACTTTTCTTATCTGCTTCCATGTGGGCCTCAAACCCAATTAGTGGCCCAAATTTTTAATTTTTCCTTTTCTGTTTGTTTTTCTCTTTTTATTAGTGGTTTATTTTTTTGGAAACTTTAACGAAAAGCTCTCGGTACTATTCACTTTAACAAAAAACCACATTTTTACACTAAAAAGTCAATCCTGATACTATTCATTTTACCCTTTATTTTGTCCTTATCGTTAAAACTCAAAATTTTCAAGTCTGTTTCATTAATTTTCTTTTTTTTTCATGGTAAGTTTTGACATAATCTTGAACTTTAAATTAACTTGAAAATGCTTTGAAGGGCTTAGAATAAAAGGAGGGGACAAGACTGGAGGGGAGAAAATTCGAATCCTTAAATAGGTAACACATAATTATTGAATCTTGTTATTCTATGTTTAAAATAATTTTTGAGATATATCTTTTCTTCATTTAATACTAGCATATGGACACACACTAAGTGTGTGAGAAAAAAATTTATTTTTGTTTTTGAAATAGAAGGAGATAGGATGTTAGATCCCACATCATCCAAGGGAGTGGATCATTTATACCTTATATGTACATGCACACCTCCATTAGCATGAGGTCTTTTGGGAGCCCACTGGCTTTGGGTTCCGTAGGAACTCCGAAGTTAAGCGAGAAAGGGGCTAAAGCATTCTCAGGATGGGTAACCTAGTGGGAAGTTCTGCTTGCGTGAGTTCCCAAAAACAAAACTTTGAGGGCGTGGTCAAAGCCCAAAGCGGACAATATCGTGCTACAGCGGAGTGGAGCCTGGGTCGGGATGTAACAATTTGGTATCACAGCCAATCCATGGCCGGAAGTGTGCCGACAAGGACGTCGGGCCCCTAAATGGGGTGGATTGTTAGATCCTACATCGTCCAAATGAGTGGATCCTCTATGCCTTATATGTACATGCTCACCTCCATTAGCACAAGGCCTTTTGGAAGTTCACTAGCTTCAGGCTCCGTAGGAACTCTGAAGTTAAGCGAGAAAGGGGCCAGAGCATTCCCAGGATGGGTGACCCACTGGGAAGTTCTGCTCGCGTGAGTTCCCAAAAACAAAATAGTAAGGGCGTGGTCGGGACCTAAAGCGAACAATATCGTGCTACGGCTGAGGCGGGGCATGACTGTAACAAAGGAAGGGAGTGATAGAAAACGTGGGAGTGCGATTTTTTTTTTTTTTTATAATTAGAGATATGTTAGGATTACATGTAGGTGAGGTTTTGAAAAGAAAAAAAAGCAGCAAAATTTGGTTGTGTGAAATTACATTTCCGCCACATATTTCTTATTCATATTCTGTTTTAATTAGATGATTAAACTGGTAATTTCATATAATTTTGATTGACAATGAATGTTTTATTAATTAGTAGAGATTACGATCTATTGATTTTTATGTAGAAACATTGTTCAACTCTCAACTTCAACTTTATCACTTCCCGGAGCAAAATAGTTTAGGGTATCCCATCAACGTTGGATTATTTGTTAATTATTTGAGGGGCTCGGGATAGGAGGTGGATTGTCTGCCTTCCCATTTTCATACTCTTCTCATACCTTTCTGTTTGTGTGGTTACGATTAAGCCACGTCAATATTTTATATTGAATTTTTTTTATAAAAAGAATAAAACAAAAAGCAATAGGAATATAAAATGTTTACGTAGTTTAATCGTAACCACACAAAATAGAAAGGGATGCGAAGAATATGTAAATAGAAGTGGCAGACAACCCATCGCCCTCGGGATAACCCACCAACGTGGAAAATGAAGCAAAGGTGTTGATCACGTTGGAATAGCTAGCTGTCTTTTTGTGCTTTTCCAGGCTAGCGGGCTGCCTAGGGTTTGGACAGAAGTTACGCTTTATATCTTTGTTATAATCTCTGTCGGACCACTAACTCTTTTTAACCACTGTTTGGTCTTTTTAGTTGCCTTGTTCATAGTCTTTTCTTGGGGGCTAGACTACTTTTTAGCCTCCCTTGTCGTTCTCGACGGGGTTTACCCTTTTAATACATTCTCCTTTTGGATCCAAAAAAAAAGAAAAAAGTTGGAGTAGCTAGCTCATGAGGGAATATTTTGTTCCACCCAAAACTAATGGTGATGATTACATTTTCTATCACTATTTAAATTTCACCCAAAATTAATGGTGATGAATTTAAATTTCGAGTACGTGTAAGGAATAAATATAAATTTCAAAATTTAAACTCTAATGATAATAAATAGGCAGTGAGCATTACAACCACTTGAGATAAGAAAAAATGCACCCAATTAATGACGGCGTGTGACACATGTGTGCCACGTGTGTGGGACCCACAAAACTATTATTTTATGAATTTGGATCCTTCGCATGTTTCTTCTTGAATATTATACAAAGTTTGTCACTTAATACTATGATCAGATGCTATTTATTTTCACTTGTAAGTGAGAGTCTTAGTTTAGATTCTCATCAAAGACGAATTTGAACACATTATTGCTAATCAATTATGAGACTTAGGCCACTCCCAACTCCCCCACCTCGAAGAGCAACTACAGCGTTGCCAAATTAAATCACCACCTCCCCCCACCACACCCCCTGGGCGGACCCCCACCCCCAAAAAAAGGGCTTCCGTATCTTCTAATCCACTGGGCTCCAAGTGAGCCCAGTTGCTCACCTAGTCAATTATTAACCAGCCCAGCCCCCAAGCCAAATGACACAATGCTGACATCACGGTGACGTCAGTACACTTAGGCCTCGTTTGGTAACTCGGATTGTACTGATTATTTCAATCGGATAGGATAAATAGTCACCGGATAGTACTGACTAAATTAGTCGGGCGTTTGGTGTAATATCGGATTAAAGACCGACTATTTAATATTGTGTTTGGTATTATACCGGATAAATTGTATTGTTATTATTTTTATGAAAAACAATTTCCATCAGTATTGAACCCATCACAGCTGACAAGCGAAAGAGCTTTGAACCCACCAGAACAAACACCCAACATCTCCAGACTCTCATCCTCTTCAGCTGGAGCTCCTCCAGCAGTGGGTACTCGGCTGTTCTTCCACCATACCCTTGCACACCAGCGACACCGAGCTCCGGTCCTTTCTCGACTCCACCATGCCCAGAACCCACTCCAGAACCTCTGTTACCGGAGCCTCTTTCACCTGGGTTTCTTCTGCCAAAGCATTATGACAACAAAGCATTATGAAATCTTTCCTTCAACCCTTTAACAAAGCATTATGACAACAAATGGTTAACAAAAACTATGCTAATGTAAATTTCCCAAATTACTTTGACAAAAAATCCCCAAATTACAAATCGCAAAACAAAAGTTCTGCAACCAAAAAATTCCCAGGACCGGTGACATGCGAACTCGTGCGGGTACCACGACGAGGAGAGATAGAAGACGAAGGAGAAGAAAATAAGGAAGACAAATCCGGGATTGGCGATGGCAACAACAGCGACCTAGCAGAACGATCTGAGAGAGTGTGAGCGATGGAGTAAGACTGATGGAACCGACTAATTATACGAAGGTTTTTGGAAGAATAAATAAACGGGCATACACAGGATAAATGTGTGGGCCCAGTATAAGTAATACGGGTACTATTTAGTACAGAATTGCACCAAACACCTGGAACCGTATTAACTATCCTATCCGATCTCTTATACGGGCTACCAAACGAGGTCTTAGCGTCAAAGTGCAGGGCATGTTTCACAATTGCAGTCACAATATTAAACCAAACTGGATCTCGGAATTTCAATAATTTTTGGGTGGTGCAATCTACATACGTCATACGTGGATAGCATTACCCTTTTTTCTTTTTCTTTTTTTCATTTTTCATTTTTTGATTAATTTCACCATTAACGGCTTGACTTGGTGGATAAGAATATTGGTTGACGGCTTGACTTAGATAGTCATTATATTGCTATATTATGTAGAAAATTGCTCGTTTGCCAAGTGTGAAACCAAACGAGCCTATAAGCCAATATTTTGTCTTGATGTTAATTCGATGTTTTTGTCCCTCGTGCAGTAAATTGCTTGGCTTTTCCCTCAAGTGGGCAATCAAACAATGAGTCTCTCACATTTTGTTGCACTCCATGTTCCAAAAGTTGCTGTCAATGGCAGTTTAGGCTTTGTTTAGGTGTTAGGTCATCGTCACGATTAATCTTTTAGCGTTCAATAAAAATAAAGAGCACCTAGATATGCATCTGCCTTAGACATGGCGATCTTGTGCAGTCTTTTTATTGAACAATGAGTACGCAGATTATTCATGTTAACGATGACGAATAGTAGAAAGTGCCACCTTTTCCTTCTCTTCAGGATTGTTACATTTGAGCAAGTCCCAGTGTATTTTGTATCTGGACACTACAGTTTCCAAGCCCTTGGCCATGAGCACAAATGCTTCTACCTTTGTCTGACTTTTGACATGTTTGCTGGAGACTGGGAGTTCACTGAAACTGTCTGCACTACAAGAAAAATGGCCTTTGGGCACAAAATTAGGGAGACAAATTAGGTGTTCATGTCTGTTTAAACACCAATAGTATGGAAAGTGCTCATTCTGTAATGGGCACCATGTATTGTGCCCAATGTTAAGAGAAATGGACACAATCACATTATTGGGCACAGAACCATGACTTTTGTGCCTTTAATGTCAGAAATGGAATTTTTTTATTAATTTGCAATGACACTATAAATGTAATCGTGCCCTATAATTTAATATATTTAATGTAAAGGTAGATTTTTTGTGCCATTTGTTTAAAATAATGTTTTAAACGAAATGAGAAAAGCCTCTCGTTATTTCCCCGTTCAAACCCAACCTCTCCTCTCTCTCGCTCTCCCTTTCCCAATCGAACCGAGTTTCTCTTCAACCCCAGACTCTCTTTCTCTCTTCACCTCTCATCTTAATTCTCAACTCCAGTCACATCTCACGCAGAAACAGAATTTGCAAATCCTTCCCCTTCAAAGTTCACACACACTGTGAATTGTTGGGTCTCAACTTAAGTTTTAAGTCGAGTTCACATATTCTCAGACTCTGCAAATCCTCCTCCTTCACACAGAATCTGCAAATCAGTCGGCCTTAACTCTCATCTCATCCCCAGTTCCCTTCAGTTCAGTGCCTGCATAATGTGATTCCTTCATCTCCACTTTGTTCCAGGTAAAATGGTAAGAACTTTGAACTAGTATTGGTTAATTTAGTTAATAATTTGTGATTAATTTTAAGGTTAGGGTTAGGGTTCGTTTGAAACAGAAGAGGAACTGAGCTCTTTTCTCTTTTTGGTTATAATCAAAAGGGGATTTGATTTGGTTCAGATTCAAACAAACCCATTTTTGCCTCTTTCATCTCTGCCTTTCTCAGACTCAGCCGATGGATGCCGTTTGTCAGCCGCATCACGGACTCATCTTGGATCTGGGCTTTTCCTTTGTTATTTTTCTATGATTTTTGTGTATTTTTAACAACTTTTGTGTGTGTGTGTGTGTGTTTTTTTTTTTCCTATCTATATTTCATCCTACAAGAAACTCAACTTCTCCTTAGGGAACCTTGTAAGTGATTCACCTTTTTCTCACTAATTATTTGGAGCTTGAATTGAGATTGTGCTTAAATTCGTTTGATTTGTGTACAAGTTTGTTTTATAAAGAAAATCAAAGAAATGTGAGTTTGATAGTTGGTTTTAGGCTTTAGATGTAATATAAATATGCTAATTTTGTTGGAGTCTAATTGATGGAACTCTGCAGGAGAGTCTGAAGCCTTTCTCATCTAATTTGGATTGAAAATTGTTCTACATTGGAAGACTGCATTTAATTTCTAAAGTGAATCAAGCGGTACTTGAAGGTTACAATGTGTGCACCCCCAATGATGTCAAGGCCTTGCGTAAATTTTCCTTGTAGTGTGGCATTCCCTACGGCGGTATGTGTTGTTCTTGGATTTTTTTTTTATCTGCGTATGTTTTCAGATGCTTTGGTATTGTCTTTACATTCATTATTTGATTACATTGGAAATATTTGTGATAATTATCTTATTTGTACATGAAACTAGAATTATGTACCTTTTAAATTGATGCGAGGAGAGTAATGAAACCCAAATGTGCATATGGGTGAAAAAACCCTTCTGAAATTGAGTCCTTTTGAGTTTTCGCCAAGAGATTGAAAAAGGACTCATATTTTTGGTCTTGAATGATAATGTGATATTTATCATTTATACGGCTCGTTACAAAATCAAATTTGTGATTTTCATTATTCCTAAGCAATATATTGGCTTTTAAATTCTTTAGATAACTTGTTGGTTTAAATTCTTTAGATAACTCGTTGGCGGACTACTAAAAAAAGGTATCTGGCACTCTACCCACAATGGAAGCTCACCTAAATAGTTCTCAGGTACAAATGTGTATCTACAATATTGTAACTTATAGGTACTCTCTGGAATGACAAAAGTGGAGTGAAGTTTCTTACAGCTTGCTAATGTTTATACTTGAGAAATGAAAGTCTCACATAAGGTATTTCGAGCCTTACATGAAATATAAGTAGGCTTTACTCATGATATTTAGTTTTCTATCTTTTGTATTAGTATTCTAACAGTGCTTAATAAACACAGTTAATGAAATGATTAAAAGCATGTTAATATTTTGGGAAGTTTCTGAGTCTAATTTTCAAAAGAAAGAAAAAGAACGAACATTATGCATGTATGAGTTTGGATGTGTTTGGACTTTGGATCATATCCATTACGCAACATTTGATGCTTTCTTTTTTCTCAAACTAGGGTGTTATTTGAATTATGGCCTCTTTTTTTTACTCTCATGGATCGTCAAATCGGAAGGATGTTGAACGGGAAAGAACCAAAGGTTTGGAGTTTGATCCACCTTTTCTTTGATAATCAAATTTCTGAGAGTTGCAATTCTCTTAGGACTAAGAATTTGTTCTGTTCGTTTGAATGATTACTTTTCTATGTTTCAGCCGTAATATCAAATAAGACTTAACCAATTAATGACACATGAAACTGAGATGAAATTAAGAACTAGGTATTCATTGTCACAATCTTGTATTCTTATTTTTCATAATATGCTTGGGTAATAAATCGATTATAAGTTATGTCAGCTATAAATATTGAACCATGCCGATTTAACACATTATTTTGATGCTAGTACATTATTTTAAGGTTCCAAAGCTATTTGAGCATGTCTGCATGATTTTGGATATGCAACTTATCCTTATATAAGTTACTTGTTATCTGCATTGGTGATTGATGAGATTTCTGTTTTTGTGAACTGTGCTAGATTGTTAATGGCCCTGAAATTTTGGGCAAGTTTGTTGGTGAAACTGAGAAAAATGTTAGAGATCTATTTGCTGATGGTGAGAATGATCAAATGGCTCATGGTAAGGAAAAAATATATGTCAATTGAACTTAGGTTGGTTTTTCAATAATTGCTAATGTCATTATGTCCTTAATTCCCTAGGAGACTAGAGTGGTTTGCATGTGATAATCTTGATGAAATGGATGCTATTTGTAAAGTATAACTATTTCTTACTCTATATTTTATACTAAGGTTCCTTATAGGCAAGAAGGGAATGTGGTTAAGTTACATTGCATGAAGAACTTGGGTCCAACGATTGCAGTAGGGGAGGAATATAACATTTCTAAACGAGCATTGCCCGTTAGATACTTCAGATAGTGCCTTACCACCACTTAATTTTGGAATCTTTCTCGATTCCCTTAAAAATCATAACTCAAAGCATATAAAGTTCAGAAAGAAGTTATTTTACACTTTCTGGTGGGGCTTGCGAAATCTAAGGTTCACAGTACATCCATTGACAATCAACAATTTTTTGAAAATATGTAACGAATTTTTTTTTGGGGTCATCTAATTCTGCAACATTGTATAAAATTTTGCAGTAATTTTGGGACGAATCTGACGTGTGTGGGAAAACTTGTTTGCAATTCTCATTTCTGTCGTTGGTTTTTACTGTTTCTATATCTCATTGGAAACGTGCAGGTTGGTATACTGAATCTTTCTGTACTTTAACTGTCAACAATCTTCAAGTATATTAAGTAATTGTTTGATTTGTGGCGAGACAGACTTTTATGCAGATGCAAACTACAAAAACAGAGGAGAGGAGACAAAAAGCAGTGGAAGGCGAGGAGACGAGACGGAAGAATCGGTTGAAGATGCTAGATGTAGTCAAGTGGATATATGAAAATAGGGTAAAATACTGTTTACTACCCTCATGTTTCGTGTTTTTCAATATTTAGTACATCAAGTTTTTTTCGTCCCAGAGTCATACCTAAAGTGTAAATTTTGGGACAGTCTTATACATCTGTTAGTTCTCCCGTTAAGTGATGACGTGGCACCCTGATTGGACGTCACGTGTCATTAAAAAAATAAAAAATTTATTTAAATAAAAATAATATTAAAAATTATTTAAATAAATATTTAAATAATAAAATAATAATAAAATATTTTTTTTTCCTTCTTCTCTTTTTTTTTTTTTTTTTCTTCTTCTTCTTCTTCTGGGTTCGGTTCTCTCTCTTTTTTGTTTCTTTTTTTTTTTCTTCTTCTTCTTCCTCCTCCTTCTCCTTCTTCTTCCTTCTCCTTCCTCCTCATTCTTCTTCTCCTTCTTCTTCCTTTTTAAGAAGGAAGGAGGAGAAGGAAAAAAACAGAAAAAAAAAAAAGGAACCCGGAAAAGAAGAGGAAGAAGAAGGAAGAAGAAGGAGAAGAAGAATGAGGAGGAAGGTGAAGGAAGAAGAAGAAGGAGAAGAAGAAGGAGAAGGAAGGAGAAGGAAGAAGAAGGAGAAAGAGGAGGAAAGAGAAAGAAGAAGAAGGAGAAAGAGGAGGAAGAAGAAGAAAAAAAAAAAAAAAAAAAGAGAGAGAAACCGAACCCAGAAGAAGAAGAAGAAGGAGAAGAAGAATGAGGAGGAAGGAGAATGAAGAAGAAGGAAAAAATAAAAAATAAAACCGAACCTAGAAGAAGAAGAAAAAAAAAAAAAAAATATATATATATATATATATATATATATATTTTATTTATTTATTTATTTTTTATTTAAATATTTATTTAAATATTTTTTAATATTATTTTTATTTAAATAATTTTTTTTTAATGAGACGTGGCGTCCAATCAGGGTGCCACGTCATCACTTAACGGGAGAACTAACAGTTTGACTAGCAGATGTATGAGACTGTCCCAAAATTTACATTTTAGGTATGACTCTGGGACGAAAAAAACTTGATGTACTAAATGTTGAAAACCACGAAACATAAGGTGGTAAACAGTCTTTTACCCATGAAAATAATTTCCCTGATGATATGAAGAACGAAATCACGAATAGCATAGAGGAAACGTTGAACAAAGACAAGGATACTGATGTCCACAAGCCATTCCTTATTCTTCCCTGGCAAACCCAAAAATCGATAAAACGCTTTCTTTTCATGAAGACACTTGGAACAGTATGTTCTTCAAAACTTGATCTCTCTCCGTCTATTAACTGCATCCATCTTCACTGCAACGTTGTTCTGATGATGTATGTCTGCGTGCGCGCGCATGTGTATAGGTAGATAAGCTTAAAGACATGAATGAAAGAGTGTTCACATTGATTTGCGACTGTCTGAAGCCAGTGACGTACGGTGAGAACAGCTTCATTTTTCGAGATCCACTGGATTGCATTGTGTTCATTATCGATGGGACAATGTGGACCTACGGGTCGAGTGATAGTAAAGTTGGGCAAAGATTCTCATCAATGTCCATCGAGCGCCTCGTGAAAGGTCACTTTTACGGGAAAGAGCTTTTTGATCGGTCATCAGACTATTTCACCGAACTTCCAGTCTCCAGCAAACATGTCAAAAGTCTGACAAAAGTAGAAGCATTTGTGCTCATGGCCAAGGACTTGGAAACTCTAGTCTCCAGATTCCCACTACAGTGGGCGAAGAAGGGTTCTCAAGAGGAGAGGGACATAGCAGCTTCTATGTTAGCAAAAGCATTCCGTCGAGGAAGGAGATGGCGGTACTTGATGTATTAGATATGTTTTAAGAATCAACGGACATTAGCACGAGTGGTTTAAGTAATTCAGTCACTGCAAGTTTTTTATTGATGGTTTTTAAACTTAGGCTCCTCCAATTTCACACGATGAAATAGCCGATAAAGCCCAACCTCATATTATGTGCGACTCCAAAGGATTTCAAAGTTTCAATTTTGAATCTTTGATTGGCCGAATTTACAATTGACAGTGATATGATAGTGAGGTTTGACTTAATCTTTAATTAAATAATTGGTATAGTTCATTATAGTTACTGGCAATAATAAGTAAAAACTATTCAAATTGCTCACATGTGGGAAAAGGAATAGGATCCTCTTCGGACCCTTTTTGTGAGGATCTGAATGATCCATCAATCGTGTATGTTCGTTGTATATTGTACGGTTAAAAATTATTTTAAAATTGAATATAAATAGTACTTAACGAAAAATAATCGTACGATATACAGTGAACGGACATGATTGATTCCCGAATCCTTACAAAGTGGATCCTTATCCGTGGGAGAAGCCAAGCAATTTTCTCTGCTAGGAACAAAAACATTAAAATAACATTAGAAAAGAGTAATACTACACCGACTACACTAATCACGTATTTGTATCATTATTTATACCACATCTTTAATAGGGAAAGCGCTCTCTAACACATGTATTTTTCATTTCTAGTAGAGAGATGATACAAATTTTCTACTTTATAGGCAAGCAATTTTGTACATTAAGGTCAAGTCATCAACGTATGCTCGTCCACCAAGTCAAGTTGGCAATGATAAAATTAAAGGAAAACTAATGAAAATGATTTTAAAACTTTGAGTTTTAACGATAAGGACAAAATAAAGGGTAAAATGAATAGTACCAGGTTTGACTTTTTAGTGTAAAAATATGGTTTTTTGTTAAAATGAACAGTATCGTGGAGTTTTCGTTAAAACTCTCTAAAATTAATCAAAACATAAAAAAACAATGAAAAAATAATTGAAATTCCGAGGCCCTCATTGGTTTAAAATTGTGCTTGCGAGTGTGAGGAATGAATGAGTGTACTGGTTGTCCGAGAGGCTCTATTATTTAAGCTTTCTTTTTTCTCAAAGAAAAAAAAAAGGAAAAAAAAAAGGACTTGGATTGTCTGCCCTCTAATTGTGATGCCCTCCCCGTGTCCTCTTGTTTTTGTGGTCACGGTTAAGCCACGTCAATATTTTATATTACTATTTCTTTTTATTTTATTATTTTTATAAAAAAATAATATAAAATATTAACGTGACTTAACCGTGACCACACAAAACAGGAGGGCACGAAAAAGGCACCGAAATGGGAGGGCAGACAATCAAGTACAAAAAAAAGGGGCTCTTGGTTCGCGTTGGATAATGATTCAACGGAGTTGGGTCCTCTTCCGCCAGCAGGTTGTGAGAAGAGGAGGGAAAAGGACAGGAGGGCAACCAACCATGGCACTGAATTTTAAGTGATGCAGATAGTTGTGGCAGTTGTGAAGGCGTCACAAGGATTTGGATCATCCAGATTCAAATTGTAACGATTGTAGAGATTCTCATATCTTAATTATTATCGTGTATTTAATTTTAAATTAAACACAAATAGTATTTGATGAAAATTTGTTGTACGATGTACGATGAACGGTTAGAATGTAGGGATTCCTAAGATCTTCATCAAGTGGATCCGAAAAGGATCCTCTTCCGGGGTCACAAAACTAAAACCAAATAAATTTTGCATCACTAAATGCAAGTGACTTTTTACCACAATGGTAGCGATGAGTGTTGTCATTGCATCAATACGTAAGTTTGAACTCGGTCGACTCCCTAATCTAACAAATTTATAGTTTGACTAAAAAAATTGCTAAATTAGGTGGCATAATTGAGAGCCATCAGATGAACTTCAGTGGCTTGGATTAAAAGCCTTGTGTAGTGTTGTAGCCTTGTAGGGGTAAAAAACCATGCAGAGGATCCAATTCAGAAAAGAAATAGTCTTGTGAGTCCCTCACGCGTTGCACACATGTGTCATTTTTAGAAAAAGACCAAACATTGATCAAAGAGGGTTAGAGTTCCCCAAAGGGATTCAATAATTAATAAATAATGCTTTCATGGTGCAATAACAGGATTCAATAATTAAGTGTTGCAAAGGATTCGAATTTTTTCCCTTCAAGTCTTGTCCCCTCCTTTTTTCGGAGCCATTAGCCTTTTTATTTTGAGCCATTCACGGCATTTTAAGGTTACTTCAAAGTTCAAGACCATGATAAAAATGGAGGCAGATTGTCTGCCCTCCTAGTTGTGGTTCATGCCTTCCTATTTTGTGCGATCACGGTTAAGCCACGTCAACATTTTATATTAATTTTTTAATATAGATAATAAGACAAAAAGTAATAAAAATATAAAATGTTAACCTGACTTAACCGTGACCGCACAAATAGGAGGGCATGAAAGGGCAGCACAACTAGGAGGGCAGACAATCTGCCTCCCAAAAAAATACCCACTAATAAGAAGGTAGGACCCACAAAGTGGCTAATGATGAGGAGGGGTGGAGAGCTAAGAGTTAACCATTCACTAAAAAGTGTACCATGTTTTAATTTAACAGGGCTCGCGTGATGGACGAGCTGGATCAAATTTAAAAAAAAAAAAAATTTTAACAGAAAAAGAAAAGTTTGCCAATTTTTGTTTTATCACCAAATATTAGGTTCAACCATGTTACCACCGTCCACCTTCTCACTAGTGCTTTCACTTCCATTATTATTTTTCTCAGCAGAGTCTTAAACTTGAACAACTTCAACTGCTACGTAGATTGCTTGTCGACTTTGATAGATTGGTGGTATCACACTCTTCTCAAAGAAACCATACTTGACACTCACACATCATATGCATATTGTGCATGTTTGACCTCAACCGATTCCCCTCTTTGCAACTATAGGACAAAAGAACCATAAAAGCTATCATTTTACTGCATTCATAATAAATGAACAAATAAATGAATAATAAAACTGAAAATATTGAAAATGAAGAAACACTACAAATTCGTCGAAATTGCTACATACTTAAATAGTTAGTTGTTAGGTTGATGAGAATTGGTTGAGATCTAATCCGCACTAGATATTCATCTAAACTTTCACTGAAAAAAAAAAATCCCAAACTGCTCAAATGCACTGTATTTTTTTATCATTTGCAAAATTACCTTCTGTAACCGGAAAGGGTGATGAAATTTGACAAAGTTAGATGCTTTTTAGGATTGACAAGTCACTATCTTGATCTAAGTTTCCTGCTTCTTTTTTTTTTTTTTTTTTTTTTCCAAGATCATCCATTTGAATGTTAAACAAAAAAAAAATGATTGTAACAGATAACCTTTTATCACAGTAACAAAAAATAATTATAGCGTTCGATCCCCCAATTCTCCTCCCCGGCCCTAATATTGAAAACCAAGAACTATCTCAGCAATTGAAGAGATGGTCTCCAGGATCCCATTATCGGCGACGAATGAGGCGGTGGACATATCCATGGATATATGTAGGCAGTCCGGTCTAGATTCAATCACACACCCAATTAGCCTCATTCATATCTTTCCAGTGTTTATAGGCAATTCATGCAAATTTAGCCTTTGTTCATGAATGTGTGAAAATTTGGTTCCAACAATTTGTGCTTTCATTGAGAGTGAACTCATATTTAACTAGTCCACGACCTCTGCCATAAGCAACGACAAATATCCCAACGGAGCTTTGATTGATGCTTTAAGGAACGAAGCGAGGGCTCTCTCTTCCTAAGCAGCGTTCTGCTATGAATAAAAACTAAGTGCTTAATTTCTACCTTTTGTCGAGAGACGAATAAATTCCTTGTTGATTCTACAAATACTTTTCTATTTTGTTGCTAGAAAACAAGTGATAGAAATAACATGTCTGCCGTAGGAGATTTGAGACTCCCACATCGGGAAACATTGAATTGTCAATGATCTTTATATGGGTCTAGTTCTTTATATTAGTAGTTAGGATTTGGACCATTTATAAATGGATCGAAGGTTTGAGCCTTATGGTTGCGGAATTAGGTTTGTATAATATAGCCTAATACAATTAATATTAATTAATTAAGACAAGGGCATTGGGCCTTGGAAGTTAAAATTAATCAGATTCATTAATTTTAATTTCGGATTAAATTTTTAATTAAAAAAACATTTTGATCAAGACACAGCTCTTAGAAAGAGTTGTGTATTTCATAGTTTCCAAGTAAAATCATTTTTCAAACAGTAAACACACAAAATAATTTGCTAAAATTCTATAATTCAATGCGGGTTGTAGAATTAGGTAGTTGTATCCTAGTCGAGCAGACGTTGTAGAACCACAAGCACAAAAGTGAGACAGAAATACTGTTAGAAGGACAAAGCTATTTCGCTAGCCTCTACCTTTGATTCAATCAAGTTAGTATCATTTTAATTTCTGTATTTATTTTGTTATTTCATTCTGTATTGCAAGTATATTTCAGTAATAAAGAATAAGTATTCCAAGTTGTGTATTTTTGTTATTTTTTGTTTTGAATTGTTCTCCAACATCTGCAAGACCCAGACTAGAAGGCGTTGATTGTAGAGAACGAGCAGAACAATATAACAGATTGCGTGAAGGCCAACTTGCTCTGAACTAAAACAACACAACTGCTCCGACGAGCATAGCAGAGTCCCAGCACGCGAAGAAATTCATTGGGGACAATCACCCCTAAAGAAAGCATAAAGTTTAACTCCAGAACTCCCCTGAAAATCCGAGGTTCCAGACGACCTCAAATCCATGGAAGAACGCAAGCACACAAGGCATACAAAGAATGAAGCTGGACTTGGCCTATTCCGAAATAAGTTAGCATGAACATTTAGGTTCACAAAAGCTTGCAAGGATGGATTATAATCCCTAAACCAAAGGCAAAGGCTAGTTTGGCTCTGTGCAGACCAATACCTCATCACAAATTCAACTCGTAAACCTCTTCTGAAGTCTACAATTAGCTTTACATGCGGACTCAGTCCAAG